AACAGAATGTAGAAGTTCCAGTCCCAGTAGAAAGGCTTGCTTACAACCCCACAAGTTAAAAAGTGCAAAGGTTAGGGTGTATAACACCCCAGTGACAGTTATAAAGTTCTTCTCTGTAAAGTTGGTCAACACACGACTGACTGGACACCAAGACTACACGTGGTGTCCGCTTTAACGCCACAGACCGAGAAGCAGCGAGCTAGCGGGGGCGGGCGAGCCTGCTACACCTGATATTCAACCGAGGTGATACAGACGTGAGTGGCGGGATCCGTTAGAAGTAAACCTCCAGGAGAGCTCCATCCGTCTGTGGTCCCAACACGGTGCTGGCTCGAGTCCGCAGAGGTCCAGCTCCTGCAATGCATGCTGTAGGCTGACCCAGAGGGTCGCCACAGTGCGTCATATGCTAATCTCTGTACTGATGACGACGTTATGTCACACCTTGTTGTGTGTGTGTGTGTGTGTGCGTGTGTGTGTGTGCGTGTGTGTGTGTGCGTGTGTGTGTGTGCGTGTGTGTGTGTGCGTGTGCCAAGGGGGCCATAATTAGGCTAAAATGACATTTCATTCCATTATTTACTGACTAGGACGATACACATACGTGTCAACATGTGTTTGATGTGGGCGGCGTGGCGCAGGAGTTAGGTGCTCGTCCATGATCCGTAATCAGAAGGTTGCAGGTTTTAGCCCTGCTCAGTCCGTTGCTGTTGTTGTGTCCTTGGGCAAGACCCTTAGCCCACCTTGCCTGCTGGGGGGGGAGCCTTGATGTGTTGCAGCCCTAGTCTCTCCATGCACTTCATGAAGAGAGGTGGTAAAGCGACAGCCCTATGGTCGTGGTATTAGTACTACTGTGGAGGTTTTTAGGACGGTAGTACTGGGACATGCAAAATACTAGATGTAGCAGTTTTTGTTGTGTTTTCACTTGATGTAAAACTGTTGTGATGTAAGATATATTATCAACCTTAAGGAGTTAAACACATGTTCAGTAAGAGCAGCCGTGGGAAAATTCTGGAAATGCTTCTTTAGTTCACTGAGCTGCTGATGAAATTCCTGCTTTTTAAAGGGATTATTTATGTGTATGTGCACTAAAGTTGCATCCGAGGAATGTTACACTTACGCCAGGTGGGCTACACCTGGGAGTGGGGCTGGTGTATTTTTAACCACTGTTGAACACAATCTGTCAGATCGGCCATTCAGGGGTTAATTTTGAGGATTCAGAGGCTCTAACCTTTGACCCTTGCCCCTTTGAGATGGGATGAGAGGGAGGACAGAGGAATGAGACTCGTTAGGTAGAGCAGTGGGGTCTGCAGGCCATTCAGCAGCAGCTGCATGCTCCGTTTGTGAGCCCAGATCTGAGAGCATAGCAGACGCTGAGGAACCTCGGTGGTGGCTCTGTGAGCAGGTTGACCTGTGCTTGTGTTGACATGTCCGGGTTCTGGTTTCTGTTTGCATCCAGCTGCATGTTTGTGTCCAACCTGAATGGATCCTCAGCCTCACCCACCCTACAGCCGGACCACGAGTCGGTCCAGTCAGTGTTGGAGGGAGATCTGGTCATGAACGTGTTCAGAGATGGACAGTGGGGCTCCTTCAGACACCAGCTCGTCTCTAATGGTACCCAAGTGTTTACCAGAGACCTACCTGGTTCTGGTTCTGCACAGCCTCAGCCATTCACTCATCTGTGAATGAATGAGCTTGTCTCTAACAGTCCGTGTTGTGTGGATATGTTGTCAGATCTGAAGGAGGAGATGACAGAGTCGGCGTATGTCAACGTGTTGACTCGAGGTGACCTGTCTTCTCTGCGCTGGATTGCTGCTCCCTCCCACCGCCTGATGTCCTGCAGCCCCACCATGCAGCTGTGTCATGTCTACTACAGCTCACTGAATTTCAGAGATATCATGCTGGCCACGGGCAAACTGCCACCAGACGCTATCCCAGGTACCAGTTCTGCTCCGCACACTTGAGCTAGTCTTCAGCCAAAGGTGGTCTTTCTTCAAATGTTGCCAGCATTCATGACATGTGCGTGAAGATATCTGTAAGTGTTTTCCTGAAGCACTCAGGTGCCAAAATTCATGACTAGGACAAGTACTCCCGATCATCCTATCTGTGTATCACTAAAGTGTATATATATACATATGTGTATATATTTGTATGTATATATATGTGTATATATAAGTATGTATATATGTATATATATATATATATATATGTATATACATATATATATATATATGTGTATATATATATATACATATATATATATATATGTGTATATATAAGTATGTATATATGTATATATATATATATATATATATATATATGTATATACATATATATATATACATATATGTGTATATATATATATACATATATATGTATATATATACATATATATATACATATATATATGTATATATATATATGTATATATATGTATATATATATATATGTATGTATATGTATGTATACATACATATATATATGTATATATATACATATATATACATATATATATGTATATATACATATATATATATATATATATATATATATATATGTATATGTATGTATATATGTATGTGTATGTATATGTATATATATATATATATATATATATATATATATATATATATATATATATATATGTATGTATATGTATGTATACATATATATATGTGTATATATACATACATATACATACATATATATATATATATATATATGTATGTATATGTATGTATACATATATATATATGTGTATATATACATACATATATATATATATATATATGTATGTATATATACACATATATATATGTATACATATATATACATACATATATATATATATATATATATGTATGTATATATACACATATATATATGTATACATACATATATATATGTGTATATATACATACATATATATATATATATATATGTATGTATATATACACATATATATATATGTATACATACATATACATACATATATATATATATATATATATATGTATGTATATGTATGTATACATATATATATATGTGTATATATACATACATATATATATAGTTGCGATGTCTGCCGACAGATTTTGTGTAGAATGAAAATTATTGAAGCTGAATTTACGTTATCATGTACACACACATTTATGCTTCTAAGATGGTTAAAATCACGGTCACATGATTACCCCCCCCCCCCCCTTCCCCGAAACAGATGAACAAATAGAAACAAGATGGAAAAAAATATTGGTTGTTAATATCCGTCCAGTTTTATTTATTGGAGCGATACTGATATGTTAAAAAATGACTAACATCGGCGATACCGATATAGGCGCCGATAGATTGTCCATCCCTTATGTATATATAGATATATAGATGTGTGTTTTTCCTGTTCACTGTGATCTGTGTAGGGGATCAAGCTCTGCAGCACTGCATGCTGGGTATGGAGTTTTCTGGCCGTGATCCCACTGGCCAGCGTGTGATGGGACTGCTGCCCGCTAAAGGTCTGGCAACAATAGTGGAAGCAGATGGAAGATTCCTTTGGGAGGTCCCAGTCACATGGTCAGTAACATTATAGTTTAGTTGTTTACGTTTGCTTCACCTTTTAAGGACAGACTCATTAAGAGACACTGGTGTTGTGGGGAAGTCACTGGCTGTGTTGCAGACCTTGCAGACCCTAGGTACTAGCTGGTTCTGGGTCTCAGCCAGATTCTGCCAACCTTCATTAGCTACAGAAGAACAGCCAAGAGCAGAGGAGGCCCCTGTAACTCACCTGGCTAACCGACAGAGGCCTTTGACCTTGTTTGCATGGACGGTTACTTCCAAAGTCTTGCAAACCTGAAGAAACCTCTTGACACAGAATAAAGTACCAGTTACACAAAGGCTGTCTCAGCCATTACCAAATGGCCATGATAGAAGCTTCATTTGCTAACTTGTTTGATCTTCTTCAGAGTCTAACAAAGCTGATAGCAAACAGCGTTCATTCTAGTAGTAGTTTAACCACGCTGCAACACGCACCCCATTCTTCAAGACAAGAATGATGACTGAATGGCTTCCATCTGCAATAGCTTTGTAAAATCCTGAGCATGATGGGACAAAGCTCTCAACATCTACAGAAAGTATTCTTTCCACCGATCTGTCAGTAATGCTGAGTCAGTGCACCCTCCAGTGGCTTAGACGTCCACAGGATGGTCCTAGGTTGACCCTGGAGCCAGCTTCAATGGGTCTACACAAGAGATACGAATATTGACCACCAGTGGGGCAAAGAACGGAGAATTTGGAACCAGACCCTCACGGATACAATCCATCGTGGTGAAATGCGATACACCGACTTACTGCAGGAGTAGACGAGACAGGGAACTGCAGCAGCCCCCACCTTGTTCCAGGCTGTTGACCTCCCGGGGAAATTCATCATTGCCTGACAGACAGATGTCCTCTGTCAACTGTATTTGCTTTTTGTGCATCACATGGTTGCTCCAGGCGTACTAAACAGTGTTCTAAACTTTCTACTGACTAGTAGACTCACAGATGACTTGTTAATTGTTTCCAGGACCCTGGAGCAAGCAGCCTCAGTGCCAGTGGTCTATGCTACTGCCTACTACTCTCTGGTGGTGCGAGGAAGGCTTCGTCCTGGTGAAACGGTTCTTATCCACTCGGGTTCTGGGGGTGTTGGCCAGGCAGCCATCGCAATAGCGCTCAGCAAGAAATGTAGAGTTTTCACCACAGTGGGTCAGTATTTCTCACTCAGAGTTCTGAACACTATGAGTGACTTGTGTTTCTTGGTGAGATGACATTTGAAAACGACTCTAACATGTTGGACATCTTATTTCTGATTGGACAACTAGGTTCTACTGAGAAACGGGCCTACCTGCAGAAGCGGTTCCCTCAGCTCTCAGCTGAAAGTTTTGCCAACTCCAGGGACACTTCCTTTGAACAACATGTTCTGGCCCACACACACGGCAAAGGTGAGAGCCTCACTCATGTAGTAGTAACTTACGGTAAGCTTGTTTACTCCATTTGGGATTTTACATGAATATGTACCATGTACAGCTGCTGTAAGTCAGTAACTGCTAAACAGCAACTAGCACTGGGATTGGATCCCTATGGTTAACCAAGTCATTAGATGGACGACATAGCAGACATCACCCAACCGAAAAATGTTGCTGTCCATTTGAACTACAATCCTGTTTTCTGTTAATAAATGTATGACATAATATTTCCTGTGCTGATCCTCTTCTGCATGGCTCAGTTTCTATGTGGTGGAGCTCTTCATCTTCCTCATCCTCATCAGCTTTATTTCTAAAGCACTTTCTATCGATGGGAGACGAAGCAAATTGCTGTAGATGCATAAAAGAAGAAATTAAACAACACTGTTCCACTGCCCTCCTGCACCACTACTATTACTACCACTACTATCAATACTACTACTACTACTACTACTACTACCACCACCAATACAACTACTACTATTAAAATACCACTACTATCAATACTACTACTACTACTACTACCACCACCACCAATACAACTACTACTATTAAAATACCACTACTATCAATACTACTACTACTACTACTACTACTACTACCACCACCAATACAACTACTACTATTAAAATACCACTACTATCAATACTACTACTACTACTACTACCACCACCACCAATACAACTACTACTATTAAAATACCACTACTATCAATACTACTACTACTACTACTACTACCACCACCAATACAACTACTACTATTAAAATACCACTACTATCAATACTACTACTACTACTACCACCACCACCACCAAATCAACTACTACTATTAAAATACCACTACTATCAATACTACTACTACTACTACCACCACCAATACAACTACTACTATTACTACCACTACTATCAATACTACTACTACTACTACTACTACCACCACCAATACAACTACTACTATTACTACCACTACTATCAATACTACTACTACTACTACTACTACTACCACCACCAATACAACTACTACTATTAAAATACCACTACTATCAATACTACTACTACTACTACCACCACCACCACCAAATCAACTACTACTATTAAAATACCACTACTATCAATACTACTACTACTACTACCACCACCAATACAACTACTACTATTACTACCACTACTATCAATACTACTACTACTACTACTACTACCACCACCAATACAACTACTACTATTACTACCACTACTATCAATACTACTACTACTACTACTACTACCACCACCAATACAACTACTACTATTAAAATACCACTACTATCAATACTACTACTACTACTACTACTACCACCACCAATACAACTACTACTATTACTACCACTACTATCAATACTACTACTACTACTACTACTACCACCACCAATACAACTACTACTATTAAAATACCACTACTATCAATACTACTACTACTACTACCACCACCAATACAACTACTACTATTAAAATACCACTACTATCAATACTACTACTACTACTACTACTACCACCACCAATACAACTACTACTATTAAAATACCACTACTATCAATACTACTACTACTACTACTACTACCACCACCAATACAACTACTACTATTAAAATACCATTACTATCAATACTACTACTACTACTACTACTACCACCACCAATACAACTACTACTATTAAAATACCACTACTATCAATACTACTACTACTACTACTACCACCACCACCAATACAACTACTACTATTAAAATACCACTACTATCAATACTACTACTACTACTACTACCACCACCAATACAACTACTACTATTAAAATACCACTACTATCAATACTACTACTACTACTACTACTACCACCACCAATACACTTACTACTATTATTAAAATACCACTACTATCAATACTACTACTACTACTACTACCACCACCAATACAACTACTACTATTAAAATACCACTACTATCAATACTACTACTACTACTACTACCACCACCAATACAACTACTACTATTAAAATACCACTACTATCAATACTACTACTACTACTACTACTACCACCACCAATACAACTACTACTATTAAAATACCACTACTATCAATACTACTACTACTACTACTACTACCACCACCAATACAACTACTACTATTAAAATACCACTACTATCAATACTACTACTACTACTACTACTATCACCACCAATACAACTACTACTATTAAAATACCACTACTATCAATACTACTACTACTACTACCACCACCAATACAACTACTACTATTAAAATACCACTACTATCAATACTACTACTACTACTACTACCACCACCACCAATACAACTACTACTATTAAAATACCACTACTATCAATACTACTACTACTACTACTACTACTACCACCACCAATACAACTACTACTATTAAAATACCACTACTATCAATACTACTACTACTACTACTACTACTACCACCACCAATACAACTACTACTATTAAAATACCACTACTATCAATACTACTACTACTACTACTACTACTACCACCACCAATACAACTACTACTATTAAAATACCACTACTATCAATACTATTACTACTACTACTACTACTACTACCACCACCAATACAACTACTACTATTAAAATACCACTACTATCAATACTACTACTACTACTACCACCACCAATACAACTACTACTATTAAAATACCACTACTATCAATACTACTACTACTACTACTACTACTACCACCACCACCAATACAACTACTACTATTAAAATACCACTACTATCAATACTACTACTACTACTACTACTACCACCACCAATACAACTACTACTATTAAAATACCACTACTATCAATACTACTACTACTACTACTACTACCACCACCAATACAACTACTACTATTAAAATACCACTACTATCAATACTACTACTACTACTACTACTATCACCACCAATACAACTACTACTATTAAAATACCACTACTATCAATACTACTACTACTACTACCACCACCAATACAACTACTACTATTAAAATACCACTACTATCAATACTACTACTACTACTACTACTACCACCACCACCAATACAACTACTACTATTAAAATACCACTACTATCAATACTACTACTACTACTACTACTACTACTACTACCACCACCAATACAACTACTACTATTAAAATACCACTACTATCAATACTACTACTACTACTACTACTACCACCACCAATACAACTACTACTATTAAAATACCACTACTATCAATACTACTACTACTACTACTACTATCACCACCAATACAACTACTACTATTAAAATACCACTACTATCAATACTACTACTACTACTACCACCACCAATACAACTACTACTATTAAAATACCACTACTATCAATACTACTACTACTACTACTACTACCACCACCACCAATACAACTACTACTATTAAAATACCACTACTATCAATACTACTACTACTACTACTACTACTACTACTACCACCACCAATACAACTACTACTATTAAAATACCACTACTATCAATACTACTACTACTACTACCACCACCACCACCAAATCAACTACTACTATTAAAATACCACTACTATCAATACTACTACTACTACTACCACCACCAATACAACTACTACTATTACTACCACTACTATCAATACTACTACTACTACTACTACTACCACCACCAATACAACTACTACTATTACTACCACTACTATCAATACTACTACTACTACTACTACTACTACCACCACCAATACAACTACTACTATTAAAATACCACTACTATCAATACTACTACTACTACTACCACCACCACCACCAAATCAACTACTACTATTAAAATACCACTATCAATACTACTACTACTACTACCACCACCAATACAACTACTACTATTACTACCACTACTATCAATACTACTACTACTACTACTACTACCACCACCAATACAACTACTACTATTACTACCACTACTATCAATACTACTACTACTACTACTACTACCACCACCAATACAACTACTACTATTAAAATACCACTACTATCAATACTACTACTACTACTACTACTACCACCACCAATACAACTACTACTATTACTACCACTACTATCAATACTACTACTACTACTACTACTACCACCACCAATACAACTACTACTATTAAAATACCACTACTATCAATACTACTACTACTACTACCACCACCAATACAACTACTACTATTAAAATACCACTACTATCAATACTACTACTACTACTACTACTACCACCACCAATACAACTACTACTATTAAAATACCACTACTATCAATACTACTACTACTACTACTACTACCACCACCAATACAACTACTACTATTAAAATACCATTACTATCAATACTACTACTACTACTACTACTACCACCACCAATACAACTACTACTATTAAAATACCACTACTATCAATACTACTACTACTACTACTACCACCACCACCAATACAACTACTACTATTAAAATACCACTACTATCAATACTACTACTACTACTACTACCACCACCAATACAACTACTACTATTAAAATACCACTACTATCAATACTACTACTACTACTACTACTACCACCACCAATACACTTACTACTATTATTAAAATACCACTACTATCAATACTACTACTACTACTACTACCACCACCAATACAACTACTACTATTAAAATACCACTACTATCAATACTACTACTACTACTACTACCACCACCAATACAACTACTACTATTAAAATACCACTACTATCAATACTACTACTACTACTACTACTACCACCACCAATACAACTACTACTATTAAAATACCACTACTATCAATACTACTACTACTACTACTACTACCACCACCAATACAACTACTACTATTAAAATACCACTACTATCAATACTACTACTACTACTACTACTATC